AGCCTATAGTTTCAAAGCTTTATCGTTCCGACTCAAGCAGGTCACAAAGCTTTAATTTCATCCCAGATAACCTTTTTATTACTATAAGGTAAGAAATCATCTTCTTAAAACTTTTAAATTCAGTTTCTCAATAGCTTAAACTAAGAGAAAATAAGGTAGAATCGGAGATTAAAGCAGTACAAGACTTACATGATAAATAACAGGTCAAAAACGTTATCCTTGCTCTTGAAACTTATTGCCCCAGCAGAACTTCCCTCTCTTCTCCATGCCTGAGCTTCTTTTTCTTATTTTTTCCTTTTGTTTTCACAAGCCTTACCCATCCTTATCTATTAGAATTATGTGCCATGCACCACGGCACATCCATCACTAGCCACGATGCATGGCACATCGAGGAAATTCCTCACCGTGCTCATACGCTCTGCTTTACAATGCCGTTCTCCCACTCTAATCTATTCATATAACACACCAAAGAGTCAAAATAATATTCCATCCCTCAAAAATCTAATCTTACATTAAATTACTAATTCACCTTTAATTAGTATTAATGTAAAAATGAGAAATTCGAGATGTTACATGGTCAGACTAGGTGGACTGGGTTTCAATTTTATTTTTTTTTTTTGCACAGGCCTACCCAATAACACATTCAATGCTACTATCATTTATTTACCATGGCAAAGGTAAATTTGCAATGTTTAATCATTTCTACCACTACTGCAAAAAAAGCTTTTCACGTCACTTTTTTAAAGGTATTTTCATCCTTATAGTGGGAGACATCGATCAGGGCAACATAAAAAATTAACACATCTACTTCACTTTTAAAAGGGATGTGGATAATAAAATACTTTAATCAACAAAATACATTTGTTTGGTTTCAATTAATTTGAAGGATTTTTCATCAACGTTAAAAGGATTTAAAATAGAACTTAGCGGCTGATTTGAAATCAAAATAACTATCTTTTGTTAAGATATATAGTATCACACCTGTATACAAACATGTTAAGATTTAAAAAAAAAAAAATTGGCTGAATTTCCTCATAAAAAATGAGACCTCCAAAATTACAACAATATCAAATAAGTATTTTCACCAGCACAAATTAGCAAATAACAATCTAAAGCATTTTCACCTCTTGGTTTGTCTAATGATTCAAATTCTCTCAAATTCATAATAAACTTTGGAGAATGAGAACTTCAAATGATTTTGATACATATTCCTATTGTCTCTCCTCCAAATTCTCAAAATAAATTAAACAATTAGTAGTTATGATCCATATAATGTAAGAAAAATTTTAGTTAGGATAAGCAGAATCTTCCAATAAATTTAAAATCAATATACTAAAATTTATTCAGCGAAGATACGAATAAAAAAAATTTATGGGCATAAGAAAAATTAATGGAATGAGCAGACAATAATTTAGGGGGGAAAAACATATCTAGATGGCGTAGGGAACGAAGTTGAACAGGGGAGAAATGAAACAGAGCTGTGAGAAAAAGAGATGCTGAGGGGAGCCTTGGGTTTGAGCTGTAGGTCTGAACTGTGGGCGTTCGCCAATGAAGAGGAGACAGCTTTGGGTCATCCACGAGGAACAGGTCCGCCAAGCCTGAGCTGAGAGCAGTTCGAGCTGAAGGAGGAGCTCAGAGACGAAGCTGGGGGAGAGAATGAGATGAGAGCAGCTCGAGTGGAAGGAGGAGCTCAGAGACATAGCTAGGGGAGAATGCTACAGCTTTATGTTTCTTTGCCACCGACGGAGCTGGGGGAGAATGCTGCAGCTTCGGGTTTCGCCGGCGAGGGAGATGTGGGAGAATATCTAAAGTTTTGGGGTTCACGAGCAGAGGGTTTGGAAGCTGGGGGAGATTAATGCTGCAGCTTTAGGTTTCAGCAGCGAGGGAGCTGTGGGAGAATTAAATCTGAAAGCTTTTGGGTTCACGAGCAGAGCCGAGGATTCAAGAAGAATAATTTAAGATAAAGAGACTTATCCATCATTTTTACCAAAAAGTGATGTCGATATTTGCATAAACCACGTCAGTTCTAGTCAAAATGGGACGTAGATATTAACATTTATTTCAGAATTATTTTTCTTAAGTTTTATTGTATAATCCACGTCATTTTATCGTAAAAGTGATGTGGATAATTATCTAATTAAAAATTTATTTAAAAAAACCACATCTTCTCCAAAATTTAATTAACATGCTTAAATTTTTTTAAAAAAATTTTACCATAACTTAAAAGAATTTCCACATCACTTTTAATCCTATCATTGCAGTTATACTTATTATTCTTGATCCTAGTAATAATTTTATTTCTTCTAATTTATGATATATTAATAAAATTTTATTCATATTTTCATCAACTCTTGAAATACAAAAGTCAGTATTTACTATAAATTTTTATTTTTGATATATTAAGTTTCCAGTTAATATGCCTAAAATACTGTCTTCAATACTACTTATTATTCTTCTATCAGTTATTAACAATTCTATTGGTGAGTTTCTTCCTTCTTGAAAATAAGTTTTTACTAATAATTGCATTTTAGCAATATATATTTCATATATATTTCTATTACTTTATCTTTAAATGCTAATTTATTAATTTCAGTATCTATTAAAGCTTTACTTATTAATGGTATTCTTAATACTCCTTCTGTTAATGTTGATTCTATAGAGTGTTTCTTTTCTAACATTACACATGCATATTTTTTTTTTGTTTTTTAGATTTTTTCTAATCCACGTCATTTTATTGTAAAACTGATGTGGATAATTATCTAATAAAAAATTTATTTAAAAAAATCACATCTTTTTCAAAATTTAATTAACATGATTAAATTTTTTTAAAAAAAATTTCACTATAACTTGAAAGAATTTCCACATCACTTTTATTGTAAGGAGACATTCATTTTGAACAAATTATTTTCATTTTAAATTTTTCTAATTTTTGAAATTATTCACGTCGTTTTTTGTAAATTAGAACGTTGATTATAAGAATTTTTTTAAAAAAATTTCCACCATAATTTAAAAGCATATCCACGTCACTTTTATTGTAAGGAGACATTAATTTTCTAAAAATTATTTTCATTTCAATTTTTTTAATTTTTCAAATTATCCACATTGTTTTCTATAAATGAGGTTGTTGACTATAAAAATTTTTTTAAAAATATCTCTAGTATAACTTTAAAAAAATTTCACATTATTTTTATTTTATTTAGACATTGATTTTGAAAAAAAAATTATTTTCAAATTTTAAAATTTTTGATATTATCCACGTCGTTTTATATAAATTAGGACGTTGATCATAAAATATTTTTAAATAAAATTTCTAACATAATATAAAAATATTTATACATCACTTTTATTGTAAGGAGACGTTGATTTTAAAAAAAATTATTTTCATTTTAAATTTTTTAAATTAGCCACGTCATTTTATACGAAATAGGACGTTGATTCTCAAAGCTTTCAATTAATTCAATTATTTTTATTAAATAGAACTTAATTTTCACTTATGTCATTCAACAATGTGATGTTCATTTAAGAATTAATTTTTGTTATAATTTGTTATATAATCCACATCATTTTTATATAATATTGACCTAAATAATTATATATTAAAGAATTATTAAAAAAATCACATCTTTGTTAACATGGTTAAATTTGAGATTAAAAATACTTCCTACGTCATTTTTATTAAAAAGTGACGTTGAATTTGAAAAATTATTTTTATTTAAAAGTTTATTTAATTTTCTGTAATAATCCACGTAGTTTTAGTTAAATTAGGACGTTGATTTTCTTAAAAATTAACATCACTTTTTTTTAAAGCGATATGGATATGAAAGCTACGTCCATTATTTTTCAAAAGTGACGTTTATATATTTAAATATTTCCAAATTAATTACATAAATGCCACTCAGATTATTTTTTTACATTGCATTATAAAAGAGTTCCATCAACCCAGTGCTATGATTAGGAGTGTTAGTTTTAATCCGTCTCGATTGGCCTGATATTGTCCCGATCATATCAGGACAGATCATGTCTTAGCCCAAAAATAATCGAAACAGGACTTTATGAGATGAGACAAGAAAGGAGTTCGGGACGGGACGGAACACGAGATTACCATCGGGACGTCCTGTCCCATCCCAAATATTATATATATTATTTTTTATTTTAAATATATTAATTATATTAATATAATTTATACTTATATTAATTATAATTTTAATACTTGTAATTCTTATTTAAAATTAAAGTGTTTTTATATTGATAATTTTAATGGTATGGAATAAACATAACGATAACTTTCTTTATAATATATTAATTATATTAATATAATTTATTCTTATATCTATCTATTTAATAACTTTTACTTATAACATATTTCTTGTTTATTTTTAGAAGAGTAATTAGCTTAGTACATCTTTACTAAAGTAGAAAAATAATTATTTGATGTTGTGTTTGACTTGCTTGTTGTTACTAATCTTATAGCATAAAGATCACTTGTATTTTTTATTATAATATGTAATTGTGATTAATATAATTCAATAATTAATTTTAAATTATTATTATTTATGTACTTGTGTTATTTTGATTTTAAACTTAATAAATTATATAATTTAAAATTTTAATGAACGTTATTATCTAGATCTTTTTTCGATATTATTCCATTTATCAGGGCGACGGGACGTCCCGATCTTATCTTGATCTTGTCCCGACTCTTAACGAGATGGGACGACTTTCGAGACGGGACGGGACACGAGATCAAAATTTAGTCCTGATTTTTTTTCGGGATGGAACACGAGATGGGGGTGTCCCGATCCCGTCCCATAAACACCCCTAGCTATGATTGATGGTTCTAGACTCATTTTACTGTTCATATAGCCGGGTAAGCTACTTGGCTTATGGAGCTATATGGCTTTTATTTTTGGGCTTTGTGCATGTGGAACTTAGAATATCAGACTTCGGGCGAAGCCTGTTTCATTATAGGTGTTGTCTCTTTCATGGCCGAAAAAATTTAGTAGCACCTACCTGAATTATCAATTATCAGTTATCAATTTTTTTATACACAAAAAGCTCTGCACACGTTTTAGATAAAAAGCTCCCCTTTCTTTCTTTCCTTGTTTTTTTTTTTTTCCACTGAAGCTCATCTTCTCCCTATTCTCCATTGCCACCACGAGGCAACTTAATCGTGCGTGGTCCTCGATCTTGAACTCGCCATTCTCCAAGATTCACTGTGCGTTCTTGATCTCCTTGTTCTCCAAGCTTTATCACGCTCAGATTCTCGATCTCGGCATCATCATGACGAGCTTCGTCTTGGCTATTCTGTCTTGTGGTTCTCCAAGCTTTGTCACGAGTTCTCCAATCCAGTGTTTGTCCAAGCTTCTTGCTGCGTCCTTGTCAGTATGTGTATTTCCAACCGAAACGATTTCCAGAAAGGTTTAATGAAACCCTGAAACGTCTTTGTGGTACGTGTACAGCCAAAGCCCTGAATCTCTCTATCCACTTTGATTCCCAAAATTTGCTTTACACATAAAAGCTCTAAATTTCTGTTGCTCCTTTTGCAAATCAGGTCAATAGATTTCAAAGAGGAAACGTCGATGCTATGGTGTAGAGGAACAAGGGAGGGGGTGGGTGGTAGGGTTGATGATTAAAAGAGATGGGGATGCAAGGAGCATATACTTTCCTCTGCGTTGTGCTTTAGCAACTGCTCCGCTCATTTTTTTTTTCCAATTATGCCCTACTCTCGCTGGCCATCACCTCCTATTCTATCCATTGTCCTTCGGAATCTCCTTTCCCATTCCGCCTCTCCCAAAACCGTGCCGTTGTGTTCTGCTCTGTCGAAGAAGCAGCCGCTAAGTGCCAACGGTAAAAGTGTCGCCTCTGTATCGAGCCGCCCCTGAATGCACTTCACCTCTCACTTTACTTGCAATGCCATTATCAATTCATTACTTTCATGTACCGGGCTAAGAGGTATAACGATTTATTTCTTTAACCAGTCCTAGATGGTGCCCAATATTGGGTCTTATATTTAATATAAGGGTGAAGGTGTATTTTTGTGCGCGATGTATTTTCTGAGGAGTATTTAATATTCTAAAGTATTTATTAGAGTAATTTTGCCCTAATATTATCAAAACAGAACATTTTTGCCCTTTTCGTTGAAATTCTAATGTTGATTGGTAGAAAATTTAATGGAAAAATTTCAACAAAAAGGACAAAAATACTTCATTTTGATAAATTAGGAGTAAAATTGCTCCAACAAATATTTTAGAGTATTGGGTTATGGTAGGGACAAAAATGCACCTTTACCCTTAATACAATAGCCAATGAGCTTTCTTCATGATAGTGAGTGGTAAAGATGAACCGAGCTGCAAGATGAATGAGAGAATGTGTAACATCCCAATTTAAATTTTAATAGTTAATTTGATTAATTGAAATTTAAAAAAATAATATTTAGAGGTAAGAAAATTAGTAAGAGATGATTATTAAATCTAACTTAGGATATAATTCTAAAAAAAATTTAAAAAAATTAAAAAAAAATTAAAAAAATAAAAAAAATATTATTAAATTATTATTATGATAAAAAAAAGGGAAAAGGTATTAAAAAAAAGGGGGAAGAAGAAGAAGAACAAAATTGCTTTCGGCCGCCGCACAACAATCATTATGTATATAATAATAATAAAAAAAAAGGAGAAAGAGAAAAGAAGAAATAATAAAAAAAACTGTGTGGGACCCACTGAATTTTTATAAAAACTCACCTGTTCCTTCGTTTCTTCATTCATTCCTTCGTGCACGCTGAGGCAGAGAGAACGCGAGTCGCCGGTGCGAAATATCTAAATTTTTAAGGTAAGAGTTTTTAATAGGATATTTAGGGTGTGATTTTAAGCTTTTCAAGACTAAGTAAGTGTTCTAAAAAATTTTTTTAGTCATCCTTCTTCTTTGGTTTCTGAGTTTGTAGTGGTAGAAAATTTAAGATCTGGAAGAGGGATGAATTTATGTTGAATAAATATGGTTTTTGAGGTTGTCAGTAGTATAATAAATGTTCTAGAGTATAAATTTGTTGATGATCTTTGAATTTGTGGCTTATGGATCAAATTCTAAACTAGATCTGAAAATATATGTTGATTTATTGAGGTTTAGATGATTATTTGGGATGAGAAATGAATTATTATGGTTATAGGATTATGATTCTAAGCTAGAGACTCAATTTTTAATTTTTGGATATTTTAGGTACGAATTTATGAAATAAAAAGAAAATTTTGATAATAGAAATTAGTTTAGAAGTTGATTTTTAGATTATTAATGTTTATTGATAATTAAAAGAGGAGTTAAAAACTTTACTTAATAGTATTAACTATAGATTTGTATTAAGATTGAGATTAGGAATTATGTTATATTTTTAATTCTATTATTAGAATTATTTTATTAGTTTCAAAAATTAAAACTAATATTTATAAATAATATGTTATTTTGTAGATTGTATTACTGGTGAAGATTGTGGTGAGAGAGAAATTTTAAGGAATAATTTATTGAAAAAGCCACAAGGTAACCATGCTTTTAATTTGTGATTAGTGTTACTTCATGTTAATTGGGTGATTATTGAGAAAATTATGAATTTGTTTGATTATTGTGGGAAGTGTTGAGAGACTTGCTATTGTTGTTGTATTTATGTGCCACGTGGTACGCCCCTATTGGAGCTCAATAGGTGGCTTGTAAGGGCTCGGGCTAATCTACCTTTGGCCGGGTAATTTAGCACCGAGTGAGAGCTACGGCTCGAGGTTAATGGAGGGATATAAGGATGGTTGTTTGTGTGTATTGTAATATTTCTTATATTTGTTGGAATTATATTATTTTTAATTCTCACTTAGTAAGCACACACTTAACTGTTTGTATACACTATCATAAATTGGCTTTGGTTACTGGGACTTTTGAGTCTCATTATGTGGTTAACAATTTTCAGGAGAAGAGCCACGAGTGACACGTGGAGGAGTCCCAGAGGCTCAGTGGTATAGATCCACTGTCTCTTTTGGGTATTTAATTTATGATTTATAATGTGTTATATTGCCAATATTAGGGCTTTTTATTTATTATCAATTATATGAATATATAAATGTAATCATGCCTTTCAAACTATTTCTATTTTTGGTACAATTTGGATGACTGTAATTTTAATATTTGGTTTACTTTGGATTGGTTAAAATGGCATGATTATAAGGCCAAATAACTGGCTTGTGGTGAAAATTGACTAAATTGCTTATTTTACTTGTTGGGAGTATAAGGATGGACAAATGTGATTTAGTTTACTTGTTGGGAGTATAAGGATAGACAAATGTGATTTAGCCTAATGGCATGTGGGAGGTAAAAATTTATCTGAAATGTTATAGTGTGTGAGTTGAAGCTAATTATAAAATATTTTATATTCAAATTATTGATATAAGAATGTGTTGGGTGGCTGTAACCCAACTATGGTTGAGTTAAATTATTTTTAAAAAAAAAATTTGGTGTGTTACAGAATGGAGCTTTAATGAGTATATGCTTTAATCTAAGCAACAAAATCAAATCTAAGTTTCTTCGCCTCACAGAAGAAGAGAGTTAATGGAACTTGGCATAACAATGGGAAGAACATTTGTTGAACACATTTGTATATCCTCTCTCTTGGTTTGTGTGTGTGTGTGTGTGTGTTTGTTTGTTTGTTTTCTTTGGTTGCTTCTTTCTGTTCCAGTCAATATCAATATAGTGCTTGGCACTGAATATTGCAGGAAGATGAGAGAAGCTTATAATGCCAAGAATGATAAATGTGGCTATTTTTAGAAATAGATTGATTAAGCAACGAAAGTTGTTAACCGTTTTGAAATCAGAATGGCCATTTTGTAGGAGAATATTCAGCAGATGATGCATGGAACTTTGTAGTGGTGGAAGTGAGGAGGTGCAAAAGTTCAGTATACAAAGTGATGAAGAAAAGTCTGAAGAATATATAATTCTGAGGATTAAATCATTGTGAAAATCTTAGAAAAGATGGTATATCTAATTCTCAAACTGTACAATCTTTGTAATGGAAGTCTCATCTAATGAATAATGAGAAGATTTTATTGTTTGTGATATGTGGACTTCTTCGTTTTACTTTCATGTTGATTTGGTACGTAAATATGTTGACGGTAAGTAGATTTATTGCTTTTACTTAAGTTTTGGCTGGGGAGGAAGGGTCCTACCTCTCGCCATTATCTGGATATCAGTTCTTTTCCCTATTTCTTCTTCAAAGTCTTCTTTCTTTCATGTTAATTGCTTGGTAAAACACATTGAAGATATAATTTCTATTTATGTTGGTCAAAATTTAAAATTTTAGAATGATGAAAACTTGATAATCTCTTAAGCCACATTGTAATGTGTCAAGTTAAGCTTCTGAATCTTTAAAAGTATTGCAAACCAATAGTTCAAGGAAAAATTAGTGAGTAACAATAAAATTTGATTGAAATTATACCATACTGTAACTGATGAATCTGTGTTGGTAAAAACTAATTGATTTCTGAAACCATACTAAGGTTAAATCAAGGAACAAGGTGTCTTAGCCAGTGATATCAATAAACTACCTTAGAAGTGCCACATAAAAAATTAGCTAGACTGTAACACATCAATTTTTTTTTTTTAAATAATTTAACTCAACCATAGTTGGGTTACAGCCACCCAACACATTTTTATATCAATAATTTTGATATAAAATATTTTATAATTGGCTTCAACTCACACACTATAACATTTCAGATAAATTTTTACCTCCCACATGCCATTAGGCTAAATCACATTTGTCCATCCTTATACTCCCAACAAGTAAACTAAATTACATTTGTCCATCCTTATACTCCCAACAAGTAAAATAAGCAATTTAATCAATTTTCAACACAAGCCAGTTATTTGACCTTATAATCATGCCATTTTAACCAATCCAAAGTAAACCAAATATTAAAATTACAGTCATCCAAATTGTACCAAAAATAGAAATAGTTTGAAAGGCATGATTACATTTATATATTCATATAATTGACAATAAACATAAAAAAGTCCTAATATTGGCAATATAACACATTATAAATCATAAATTAAATATCCCAAAAGAGACAGTGGATCTATACCACTAAGCCTCTGGGACTCCTCTACGTGTCACTCGTGGCTCTTCTCCTGAAAATTGTTAACCACATAATGAGACTCAAAAGTCCCAGTAACCAAAGCCAATTTATGATAGTGTATACAAACAGTTAAGTGTGTGCTTACTAAGTGAGAATTAAAAATAATATAATTCCAACAAATATAAGAAATATTATAATAAACACAAACAACCATCCTTATATCCCTCCATTAACCTCGAGCCGTAGCCCTCACTCGGTGCTAAATTACCCGGCCAAAGGTAGATTAGCCCGAGCCCTTACAAACCACCTATTGAGCTCCAATAGGGGCATACCACGTGGCACATAAATACAACAATAATAGCAAGTCTCCCAACACCTCCCACAATAATTAAACAAATTCATAATAATATTGCACAATTATACAATATTACAAAATTTATAATTTTCTCAATAATCACCCAATTAACAAGAAGTAACACTAATCACAAATTAAAAGCATGGTTACCTTGTGGCTTTTTCAATAAATTATTCCTTAAAATTTCTCTCTCTCCACAATCTTCACCAGTAATACAATCTACAAATAACATATTATTTATAAATATTAGTTTCAATTTTTGAAACTAATAAAATAATTCTAATAATAGAATTAAAAATATAACATAATTTCTAATCTCAATCTTAATACAAATCTATAGTTAATACTATTAAGTAAAATTTTTAACTCCTCTTTTAATTATCAATAAACATTAATAATCTAAAAATCAAATTTTAAACTAATTTCTATTATCAAAATTTTCTTTTTATTTTATAAATTCGTACCTAAAATACCCAAAAATTAAAAATTGAGTCTCTAGCTTAGAATCATAATCCTATAACCATAATAATTCATTTCTCATCCCAAATAATCATCTAAACCTCAATAAATCAACATATATTTTCAGATCTAGTTTAGAATTTGATCCATAAGCCACAGATTCAAAGATCATCAATAAATTTATACTCTAGAACATTTATTATACTACTGACAACCTCAAAAATCATATTTATTCAACATAAATTCATCCCTCTTCCAGATCTTAAATTTTCTACCACTACAAACTCAGAAACTAAATAAGAAGGATGACTAAGAAAAATTTTTAGAACACTTACTTAGTCTTGAAAAGCTTAAAATCACACCCTAAATATCCTATTAAAAACTCTTACCTTAAAAATTTAGATATTTCGCACCGGCAACTCGCTTCTCTCCGCCTCAGCTCGCGCGCAGAATGAATGAGGAAATGAAGGAAGGTGAGTTTTTATAAAAATTCAGTGGGTCCCACACATTTTTTTTTATTATTATTTTCTTCTCTCTCTTCCCCCCCTTTTTTTATTATTATTTTATACTTACTATTCATGCGATGCCGAAAGCAAATTCGTTTTCTCTTCTTCTTCCTTTTTTTTTTTTTTTGGCATACCTTTTTCCCTTTTTTTTTATAATAATAATTTAATAATTAATTTTTTTAATTAATTTTTTTAATAAATTTATTTTTTTTTTAAATTTTTTTTTAAATTTAGAATTATATCCTAAATTAGATTTAATAATCATTTTCTACTAATTTCTTACCTCTAAATATTATTTTTTTTTTAAAAAAAATTTCTATTAACCTAAATTAACTATTAAAATTTAAATTGGGATGTTACAATTCTCCCCTCCTTTTAGAAATTTTGTCCTCAAAATTTAAAATTAATAACTATTAACTACTCACTTAATCAAAAAGACGAGGATAATCACGTCGCATACTGTCCTCGGTCTCCCACGTAGCATCACCTGGAGTTGTGCTCTTCCAGATTACTTTAACCAATCTAATGGTCTTGTTTCTTAATTGCTTGTCCTTATAATCCACAATCCTTTCTGGTTCAGCTTTGAATGTTAAATTCTCCCTGAGTTCAATTTCCTCGGGTTCAATTATATGGGAAGGATCTGGTTGATACTTTTTCAGTTGTGACACATGGAATACGTTGTGTATTCCAGCAATTTGGGGTGGTAATGCTACTTGGTATGCTACTGGTCCAACTCGTTTTAAGATCTCAAAAGGCCCCATAAACCTTGGTGTCAACTTCTTAGCCTTAATAGCTCTTCCAACACCAGTTACTGGAGAGATTTTCAAAAATACATGGTCACCTACTTCAAACTCAAGCGGTCTTCTCCTCTTATCCGCATAACTCTTTTGTCTACTTTGAGCTGTGAGTAATTTTTGCTTGATTAAAGCAATCTTTTGGGTAGTCTCATCAACAATGTCTGGCCCCAAAACAGTTCTCTCACTTAATTCTGTCCAACACAGTGGCGATCTACATTTTCTTCCATACAATGCCTCATAAGGTGCCATCTGAATGCTAGAATGAAAACTATTATTGTAGGCAAATTCAGCTAATGGCAAGTGACTATCCCAATTACCTCTAAGCTCAATGGCACACGCTCTTAACATGTCTTCAAGAGTTTGTATGGTTCGTTCTGTTTGCCCATCGGTCTGGGGGTGGTAAGCAGTGCTAAAACTCAGACGAGTACCCATGGCTTCCTGTAATGACTTCCAAAAGTTTGATGTGAATCTCGGATCACGATCAGATACAATATTTGTCGGCACTCCATGCAATCTCACCACTTCTCTTATGTAGATTTCAGTTAATTTTTCGAGAGAATACTTGATATTAGTAGCCAGAAAATGAGCTGATTTGGTGAGTCGATCTACGATTACCCATATAGTGTCATGACCAGAAGATGTTCTAGGCAATCCTGTAATGAAGTCCATAGAAATGCTGTCCCATTTCCACTCTGGAATATCAAGAGACTGTAGCATCCCGGCTGGTTTCTGATGCTCAATTTTGACTTTCTGACAAGTCAAACAACGAGTTACATGTTCAGTTACATCTCTCTTCATCCTTGGCCACCACCAACCACGTCTTAAGTCATGATACATCTTAGTTGCTCCTGGGTGAATGGTATATTTACTCTGATGAGCCTCCTCAAGTAGGATATTTTTCAATCGAGTATCATTAGGCACACACACTCTACCTTTATATCTTACGACATCATCATCGGTCACATCAAAATGTTCAGCCTTTCCAGCCCCAATCTCTACCCTAATCTTATTCAAATAATCATCCTTCTGTTGCGCAATTCTAATTTCTTCCCAAAAATTATTCTCAAATTCAGTAATATGTAGAGCAGCCAAACGATTTTCGACTACTTCTACATTTACTGCATGAAAACTACTCCATAATTCATGTTCTCTGACCATCATGTGAGCAGTATGTACAAGCTTCCTGCTCAGAGCGTCGGCGACTACGTTAGCTTTCCCTGGATGATACTTCAACTCAAAGTCATAATCCTTCAAAAACTCAATCCATCTGCGCTGTCTCATGTTGAGCTCCTTTTGATCAAACAAATATTTTAAACTTTTATGATCACTGAAGACCTCAAAAGAAGAACCATAAAGATAGTGCCTCCAAATCTTCAAGCAAATACCACAGCAGCAAGCTCCAAGTCATGAGTAGGGTAATTTTCCTCATGAGGTCTCAACTGTCGAGAGGCATAAGCCACTACTCGATCCTCCTGCATCAATACACAACCTAAACCTTTCTTAGAAGCATCAGTATATAAGGTATAAGGAGCAGTTGGAACAGGTAAGGTGAGCACCGGTGTGGTGGTCAACCTCTTTTTCAGCTCCTGGAAGGCAATTTCACACTCGTTCGTCCAAATAAATGGAGCATCTTTCCTGGTCAACTTAGTCAAGGGCATTGCAATTTGTGAAAAACCCTTAATGAAACGACGATAGTAGCCTGCAAGACCCAAGAAACTCCTAATCTCTGTCACACTTCGAGGTTGCTCCCATTTCATCACTGCATCTATCTTACTAGGGTCCACTACTACCCCTTCTTCTGAAACAACATGGCCTAAGAATTTAACTTCTTTAAGCCAAAAATCACATTTGCTCAACTTGGCATAAAGCTTGTGCTCTCTTAATATCTCCAAAACAATTTTAAGATGTCTAGCATGGTCCACCTCATCTCGAGAATAAATAAGTATGTCATCAATAAAGACTACAACAAATTCATCGAGATAAGGCCTGAAGATTCGATTCATATAATCCATGAAGACAGCTGGGGCATTTGTTAACCCAAACGGCATCACTAGGAACTCATAGTGCCCATATCTAGTCCTAAAAGCAGTTTTAGGGATATCCTCTGCTCTAACCCTCAATTGATGATACCCTGATCTTAGATCAATCTTAGAAAATACTGCTGAATTGACTAATTGGTCTAACAAATCATCAATTCGAGGTAAGGGGTACTTGTTCTTGATGGTTACCTTATTCAATTGTCTATAATCAATACACAATCTAAGGCTTCCATCTTTCTTTTTCACAAACAGTACCGGTGACCCCCATGGTGATACACTCGGTCTGATAAACCCCTTCTCTAACAACTCTTCAATTTGTCT